CGGTGGTGTGTGTGTGTGTGTGTGTGTGTGTGTGTGTGTGTGTGTGTATGTGTGTGTGTGTGTGTGTGTGTGTGGTGGGGGGATGGGTGTGGATATATATATAAGGATGTATGTATACGGATGAGAGTACTTACAGGGACGGCATTTGTAGGCGACTTCGATGTACTTCCGTAATCCGGGGCAAGGATCACCTTGGAAAGTCTTCGGACTAGTATTAAACTTGCACTGCCGTTTTTCTGACAGACTCCGACTACCATCTGCAACAGTGAGTGCTAACGCGTCAATGAGAAGATCCGCTCACTTTGCGATACCGGATCCATAAAAGAAAAAAAAAAAAAAAAAAAAAAAAGAAATGAGTTATATCTTTTCTTACAGAGTTTAAATCAAGCCGACAAAGGTCGCTGAAATTTTACTTTCTACTGCGGTATACGAAAGCAATCTTGTATATTCAGTATTGTATATTCAATAAATTATTAGGCTGAAAGTTCATGAGAAAAAAAGAAAAAAAATTTTTCTCGCAATAAATCGTAGAAATAATATTAATAAATACAAAAATTTATTATTTCAAAATACGTTAAATTATTTATAAAAGTCCTGATTAAGACGTCTAAAGAAAATAAAGTTAAATCTAAACAATCTCTTTCCGTATAATGTTACGTGTAATATAACACAGAATTAGTATCAGCTAATTATACGGATCACTGAGGCAAAAGAGGAGGAATCCAGAGATTAATATGATAACGTGAGCAAGCAGGTGCACCAACGGAACAATCTAGTTCGATGGCGCTTTGAAGTTGAAGCTCGAAATTACCGTAGCTGCACCCTTTGTCGTGGTTATTGCAATTGCTGTAGAGAGCATTCATCTAGACAAAAAAAAAATGATATTCACACACGGTAGGAAACAAACTGTGACAACTCCAAGTTGGTTTTCACATGAAATAGAGACTTAATTTCGATCGAATTTTTCTACCGACCAGTTTGAATTAGAATTATTTCTGCTTTTTATGAAGAGTTCTCGAACAAAGTAAAACTAATATAGTAGAGGTCAACCCGCATAGCGAAATCGTGTGTCATATGCCGATATTTGCACATATAATGCAAAAATAAATTGACAAGTCGAGCGATGAGCCGCTCGCAGAGATATAAATAACAAAGTTTGAATTTTTTAACTAGCTCCGTAAACGTCATATTGCAAAAGATGAACTTTAGAGCTCTACAGATGGACAAAAAAATGTCAGAATAAAAGTCAGTTATGTAATAAACGGTTACCGTCTCTTAATAAAAAAATAAAATAAAAATCATGTTCCAACTTTTACGGAAATGCATTTTCAACGTTACCCGGAAACACGACGATTGGATTCTGCGGAAGCCGAAACGGAAAAGATAAAATCACGAACAAGCGTACAAAGGGATATACAAGATATACCGACAAGAGATACCGATTTTTTAATTAAGAAAATTTCCACTTGGGCGAAAATTTCCACTCGCAAAAGTATTAGTTGTCAAGAACGAATAATTGTCATTAGGCACAGAATCATCCCTCCGAGTTTCGCGTTCCCCAGAAGTCATTGGTAATCTGACGTCGCTCGGTGATATCCGTACATCGCCGAGAATTCCAAGGATTCCATTTTCAATCGGCTAATTGCATGCGAAGGTTCGTGTTACATAGTCCCGTTCGAGCTTGATTACGTTAAATGCAATTTAATCGCGTTACGTCAACGCATCTTAATGAAGAGGATAGTAATTTTAATCGAGGTAAACGCATGCGACACCATGTCGCATAAGATACAAAGGCAAAAACGTCACCTTTCAAGACCAGCAAAAATGGCTTTAAAATGATTTTCATTTTAAGCGAGCACCTCGATCAAGTAAAATATAATATTATTTCTTTTCCCGTTTTAATTTCAAATTTATATTAATAAAAGAATATTCCCATTGCATATTATTATACCTTTTGCTCTCGATTAAACGTTAAATCCGCCCAGCCCCCACGTGGGATAATTAAAAATCGATGAACGCACTCACGAAAACGCGAAAAAAACCTTGTAATAGATGTAATATCCCGTGAGAGGTGAGAGAAGACAGAAGACCTTTACCGTGGGAAATGTGGAAATTACGTTTCCAGGTTTCAAGCTGCTACCGACACACGCTCGCGTCTGGATTCCCGCATACGATTCGATCGCGTGTGTATTCCCGCGTATGTACACCGCGTGTGTGTGTATATATATATATATATATACGATATCCATCTAATTATCGGCTTTTCGGAGTTTCCGTCTTGGGCCATTCTCCTGCATTTCACGTGCACGCGGCGGCGAGACTTCCCCGGGGAGAAATCGATTTTCCGCTTGCGTCGATACATTCTGACCGTTACCGTGTCGTCCGTCACTATAAGTAAACGTTTACCGTTCCGTCGAGCAACTTTGCCCCAGGGGCCAAAGTCAGGACGCGTAATTCCCTTAAACCGCTACGTTTCTCTTGCCGTTGTGAGACGACCCGATACCGTAAACTAACAAACCAATCTCGGTGCAAGTAGAACCATTGCTTTGATATTAGTTAGTTCAACAGTTGAGCTATTTCGATTTATGTTGTAGAGCAATATGATTAGCGATATAACACGGAAGCATATATATATATTTTAGAGGGGGAGAGAGAAAGAGAGAGATGCTCGTTCGTTGTATTACTTATACGTGACGCGCGATAAAAATAAGAACTATGGTATACAGCGTAAAGCAGTAAACGTACAAAGCACCGGGAAACCGACGTAAGTCCTCGAGCGATAAAATTGAACTATAAACCGAAGGATCAGCATATCGGGTCTCAATCTTTAGAGTGGTACACATCTGACTTCGCAACAAAGCTCAGGTCGTAAAACGATCAGGTTTACTTCCCACGGTCCCCCTCTGGCTGTAATCCCGACAATCGAGCTTGATTTATCCTTCCTTCATTCGGTTATAATTCCCTCAATTTAACTTCGCCTCGTAATATCCGCCCGTTTAAACATAAACATCCCCCGCGAATTCTCGTTATCGATATTTGCACATCCGCTTCCGGTCCCCGATCTTCCTTCGCCGTGATTTACATACGTCTCTCGCGGAAGAAACGCGTCTGTCGGCGCGCGAGCGCACACGTCGCTTTTATTTCAGCAAGCCACGACTTTAAATTCCTACCTCTTTATGGAAGCAGCGACGTGTGTCGTCGGGAAGTTGCGACGAGGGTAAGCACTCGGGCGGAAAAGCTCTTTCGCGAGATTCGAATCGTTTCGGCGCAGGCACGGCGGAGCCACTTTCGAGTCGAACTCTCCTTATGGTTCTACAGGGAATACGCCTTCATTCAGGAAACGCCTTTCCCCAGCTTGGAAAATTCCCATGCAACCTGTACCAGGAAAAAGTACCGCCGCGCTGATTCGTTCACGTGCAGTCGTCATGCCGGAAACGCTTCCATCGTGAAAACAGAAGCGTCGTCGGACAACCAGGAATTCCGCGCGTGCATTCAAGCCAATGACACGAGCGATCGCTCGTTTTCGCGACATAATCTCAAGCGAGTCACACGACGGATGATTCCTTTACGTAATAACTACGTATATATCGATGTAAGATATTAGCTAGAATTAGAAATGTACGCGGATTATCCTATTACTCCATTACGAAAGCGAATTAAAATTGGAAAAATCGATTCGTTTTTCACAAATATTATATAATTCTATTGGATTTTTCTGCTATTAAAAAGTTATCGCTTATTAACTTCCACTTATAATTCCGTTTGAAGAAGATGGAGTATTTTAATAACTTGATAACAAATTATTATAAGTAAAATTATTACATATATTAAATCTTAATATTAAAGATTTTAAGATTTAAAATACGTAATTATTAACATTTTATTTTAATATTTTTCTTAATTTTTAAATTCAAACAATTATAACTTTTTAATACAACTTACAATTATTTGAATTTCCACTTATTAAATTACAGAGTAAGTTACTATCTATTACTTCGAGAGTAACCTAAATTGGAACAATTCATACAAATTCATTTTTTAAAATTATATAATTATATAATTCTATTAAATTTGTTCTGCTATAGAAAAACTTATCGCTGTTAACTTCCGTCTATAACGTTCGAAAAAGATGGAGTATTTAAATAATAATAATATAAATAATTTTTTATAAATAAATTACGTATTTTAAATCTTAAGTTTTAATATTTTAGTATTTTTCTTAATTTTTAAATTCTCATACAACTTATAATTATTTTCTATTTGTTGAATAATAGAATAAACTTAACATAACTTTACATAAATTCTCTTTCCGCAAAAGCGATAACTATCGAATGAAAGTACTTTAGAACTCCATAAACTGTTCACAGTTAACATGATCGTAGGTTAATCCATTATAAGAGAACATAATACATAGATTACACACACTTCACAATGTGTTTTATGAGCTTGTTTTATGAATCGACCTTTTGTTAAGAGACCAAATAAATCATTCAGAAAGAAAATTCTTCCACATTGTGCCTGATCTTTTGGATTATCGACCATCGTTAGTTTTTCCTGCACTACGTTATAATCTGCCTATAGAAAGTATCCAAAAGCGCTATAAATCCCATTGGAAACATTATGGATAGTCATTGAAATAAAACGGGTGATTGAGTGGGTGAACTGTATTTACGTCGTAAAACTATACTTATTATTCCTTTATGACTCAATCTGTTAGAAGCATAAACGAAAATCCAATTTCGTAACAATTTTAATAATAATAACGTTTTTACACACACATGCGCGCGCGCGTGTGTGTATGTGCATGTGTGTGCATAAAGAATGGAGAATATTATAATATTTTATAGGACTTATACTTTGAAAAATAAACGTCATTAGATGAAGTATATTCAGCAGCTAAAAAAATATCGTAAAATGTGCAAGAGAACGCGCTAAATCTCATGAAAAGCAAGATCCGGAGAAGAGGATAAGATCGTCAACGAAATAAAAGAGTAACTCCATTTTCGCATTCTGGTGGGATCATACGTACAATGGTTCCTTCCACGAATCGGCGGAATATGAAATATGAAATCGATACGTGGACTCGCGAAAACCGCAAACCGACGGATATAACCGATGAAGATTTTTATTGTATACCGAAGATAAGTTATTATACCGCAATACTGCGCGAATAACATCGCTTTTTTTTCTGAGATCTAATAGAAGTGGGGACCATTCTGAATTGGAACGCTTGATCCTTCCTGAAGAACATTGCTCAATGATGCTGACGCGAACCTAAACTTTCTTTATTATATAAGTACACACGCCTATTCCAAATTCCATTATAAAGAGCAAGTTTCGATTAAAAAAAAAAAAAAAATAAATAATAATAATAATAATAATAATGGCAAAAAGATAATTACTAATGTTATATACTCGATTTTCGTTAGAAGATTAAATCATGATTGTCATAAATGAATGATTTAATGTCGAAGGAAGAGAGACTTAAAGCGACATATTCTAAGAACGTTATTTGTCACCGACAATCTCGTTCTTCTCACCGCCAGGTCTGTTCTACCCTCCTCTCTTTAGCCCGCACGACCTCAAACGAATTTGTCAGTTGCACGCTTCGCGAAACACAAGGGTGCCGTTTTCAGGTCAGTTGCCATTATTTCGCAAACCAAGATTTTTAGACCAGCGTGAGACGTACCTCCTTTCCCGGCCTCGCGCGAGAGATCCCATAATTGCCAGTGAATTAAGCTCAAAGAAAACAAGTTTTCATGCGGGCGCATTCTCGGCGGACTTTTCTCGCGGAATTTCTCCCG